GTGCCCAACTAGTGTGCCCGGTGAGTATGGTGCCTCAAACGCGTCTCCGATTGGTGTGTTTACCGTGTCCAAAAAAGTGGTTCCTCGATTTGCGCCTGGTGACGTCATAAGAGTGTCATGGTCTTGCCGGTCGCGATTCTGGCGGTGTTCCAGCAGCGGTGGTGGAAGTACCAGACGCCTGTTCAGCTGCAGATCGCTCTCTGGTGTCACAGTTCACGGAAGCTGCAGCAGCGAGAAGTTGGGACACTATGACGACAGAGACCCTCGCGTTCGCTCGAACTTTTTGCCAGCATTTCAACGACCAACCACCCGGACCGCGACATCCGACAGCATAACACTACGGCTTCTGTGACGTCATTTGTTGAAACTTCGAGACCCCTTTTGATGTATGGGCCGGATAGGACGCTAAACACATTAGTCGAAGACGCGTTTGAGGCACCATATATCTGCGAGTTCGCTGTATTCAGGTGTATACACTGTCTCACTAAAACCCTGCAGTGCTGCCAGGCTACAGGGAAGAGAGAAAAGGGCTGGGTTTCCACCGTTCTCCCTTTCTCTCCTCTTGCACGGGTCGGGACACACTCTCTCCCCCGTAGCTTTGGCATGTAGTGTACCATTGTAGTGAGACGGAGTGTTTATGACGTGACATGAATTTCCCAGCTGAGTTTAAGTAGGAAACTGAATTGGTGTAAAGGTCTCGTAGCGTCAGGTCACGTGACAACAATTTTCCCGCTGAATTTAACGGGGAACTAAATTGGTGTTTAGGTCACGTGAAATCAAATTCCCCTGCTAAACCTAGCGGGAAACGCACGGACAGGCGGACACAATTTTGAAGCGGGTGCGTGTTTGTGTGTGTGTTTGGGGGGAGGGGGGGGGGAAAGTACTTCGTAAAAAAACGATGTTATGCTCTAACATTCGTGTATGTTCCTCCAAGGTTCCGGATGGCCGGATCCCGGTTGCGGTCAAACTCTTGTGCATACTCGAGGCCGATTTATTTATGGTGGAAGGAAGGCAAAGGTTGGAGAATTCCCATGGATGGTACTGTGAAAATTACGCATCATACCGGGGAGTCACCATTTTATTGCCTACTCCGTCTACTTCAGGGTGTAAGATAGACAGGTGGGGAAACGGCCCATAGAAACCTACCGCAGGGCCGTGACCGGATTGTGTACTCGTCTGCTTGCGGGTACCCCGGATTTGCGACAAATGGCGCTGCGGCGAGAGGAAAAAAATTAGAATTGGATTTGCATAGAACTCTATGGGAGAGTGCGCAAAATAAACCGAGAGCACGACAGTCCTCCATTGAAAATCCACGAGAAACCATCTCCGTCAGTTTAGCCGGTCGCCACCAGTCGCCCACCCGGAGTGAGAGTTCGCAGTGCTCCACATAGATGGCGCCACAGAAAAAGAGAAAACCGAGGGGGCACAATCCGGTCGCTCATTTGGCTCTCGTTTCCCCACCTGTCTATCTTACACCCTGGTCATGTTTATAAACAAACCTGAGCGCCTCTAGTGGACGCCACCGGCGCGCCGCGTTTGCGCGATGGCGTGTGGGCAAGACGTTCACCGTCGCCCATAAACAAACCATTGGAAGGCGATGTTGCCGGTGTCGGTGTCAGCTCCTGTGCTCTTTTTCGCGTTAGAATTGTTGATTTTACGTCTTCCTAGCAATGTCTGACTACTTTAGCGGCCTCAGCAAAATTAACATCGCGAAACTTCACGTGAATAATAGGAAGTGTGACGATTCACTCTGCGTGGACGCCGCAAAGTGGGCGCTAAAAGCCTGACTCAAATGATGGAATTATGTTCGCTATTTTCAGTCGCGACGTCGCTCCGGCTGCAAAAGCGTGGACCGTAGCTGAGATGGCCAACGTCGATACCGACAATCGTAACCAGAAACGGATCGAGTAAACTTGGCATGACAAGTCGGTGATGGGCGCTGGTAGCAATGATCAACATCTCCCCGTATCTACTATTCACACTGAGCCTAGTTACCCCAACCTACCTTGAAACTTAAGTCGTTTGAGGCCTGCACTTAGTTCGTGTCGGAATTACCGGGTCAACGTTTAGTCTACGAGCCGCCGTCGTTTGAACGAGCAGACGACAACAAGCAGAAACGTTGGAAAGAGCGGACGACACTTCGAACGGTCAGGTAGCCGTTTGAACATAAAGGCGCACTGAAAGTAGTCCGCCGGTGGATTGTACAACTTGGCGGTTTTCCCGCGTTCATGTTGGAACAAAAGAAATAAATCTGACGACCACAAGTATCCGTGAATGCAACACAAAGTGCTACCCACGCAAGCAATCGTGGTCCGACCGCGTCTGGTTATTATTTTTCACGGTGCATACACGTTCTCGGACGAACCGAGTAAGCAGAAAACACACGAAAACTGACCTTCAAACCTTTCCAGACGCTTGTTACAGGCCCAATTGCGGCGTTTTGACGAGTAGGCAGGCTTTTGTCCGGTTTCTTCCAAAATAACACAGGAATGCACATCCCGGGTGGTGATTTCCGCCCACAACCACAGGCCGGAAGTGCTCCCTTGTGGGTACTGCTCATAACTTCTTTTTTTTTTTCTAAAAAAAGAAAAAAAACTTGAAATCCACCAGCCAACACCCGGCTTAGTTCACCACTTCCCAATAACAAGGCCTAGGTGCTCGATTTTGTTTACGTAACCCATCAGAGGTCAACGCGAGGCCCGAATTGGACGCGAGTTCTACGCCACTGTTTAGTTGCAAATCGTGTCCTCCTCGATTCGACACGAGTCCCAGCCGAACTCTGCTGACGCAGCAAAAAACTTTACAACGTGTGCCCCGCGCTGGCATCCGTTACGTGTCGTAAAAAAAGTCTATCTCTTAGGCCTTGTTATGTAAAGTCACCGACAAGCTTAGTAAATTCACCACGTGACGAGTCCCCACCATCATCGCTCCCCAGCCAATCAAGTTGCGGCGTTTGCCGAAGAACCAATCACGAAGCGAGAAGCCTGAATTAACATAATAAGCCACGCCCAGTGTCGACTCTCTGACGTCACGCCACTGCGGTGGCGCTGCTGTCCGCACTGCGCATGCGCAGATGCCTTGCCTCACCTGAATCTTGTTTCTGCGCACGTACAATACATCCACACCCGGTGTGAGAGATGCGGGCTTGCTCGTAAACAATATGTTGATCGATAAAGGGGGGGGGGGGGGGGGGGGTTGGTTCTATTAATGCAGATGGCGGTTGACTTCCTATACTATAGACCAACACGCGGCGCGACTCTGTTTACCAACACGGACGGAAGGCAACAAATGCGCAGACGCTATGGGAACTGAAGTGGCCAGGCTCTCCGTGTTTTACCATTGCGTTGTTTGGCGTGCGCTCGTTGGTGACATTGGAGGGACACTTCTAGATTTATTTGTCCGTCGTATATCCTGCCAACGTATGCCCTACATTATGCCCGACCATTTGAGCTCGCTACTCGATTCTGAACGGCAACGGTATCGAGACAAAGTGTGCGTGGACGGCGTTGCCTTCGATGATCCGTACGCCGTAAACAAGGCCTGCGGGAGTTCCGACGTGAAGTTGCTGCCACCGACTTCGATGGCTCACAATGTCGCGTATTTAGATTTCTCGCCAAGCCAGTTGACGGCCGACACGGTGCAGACGTACATGTCTCTCGAGGCCTACGATTGCTTCCAGCCGGTTTCCACGCTGGCGGCTGGATCAGAGGACTGTGCGTCTGCGGAAGTGAATTTACTAATTGATTAAATACACACAAAGTCCTTCGAGTTAAGGTATGATACTTTTCTTACCCTCATGACCAGAAGGCACGACAACCGGTATTGTTTTGTCCAATTTACCGCCGATCTCCTTCTGCATGGTAGCACGGGCGTATAGCGAGCCACCGACGAGCGCTTGACCGGTCCTTTGTGCGCGAACACCGCGGGAACAAAACCAGGGTCTCGATCAGACGGAACTTTCCCTGCACATAAGAAAGCCTCGGAACGGAGATTAAAATGGAAGCCCCACTTGTCTTTCAAGAAAGTGCTTGCCGCTTCAACGGTCGTCATCGCCAGGCGACCATTCTTTTCGATCAACAAATATTATCTAACTTCTGCGCCTTTCAGAGTCCGCGAAGAACTTCTGGAAACCCACTTCGCTACTTTTGCTGTACCTGTCAGTGCAATAAACGGCTACACATCTTAGCGGCATGCTGAAATGCTATGACGCTGCAAAACGTGCACCTTTCTGCCCATACCACCCGCCGGCACCCGGCTCCGGCGCAATCTCAGCGCCACCGCAGCTCCGTGACATCAACCGCGCGTGTGGGTCTATGGGGGAGAAGGAAAACGCGGTCTCGCGTGGCATTAATAGACTATCACGACCTGGAAATCTTGTTGAATGCCCAAGTGCCAAGAACTACATACATGTAAAAGAACAGCGCGAATAAGCAAGCGAGCTGGTGATGATTTGTTTGAGACGTACGATTCCCCCGGTGGCAGTTCCCCCGTCCCAAATGCACCGCGCCATTTCCCCCGAGTGTCAAAATCCCCGTTGTCTTGCCTCCCCCGAGCGCCAGCACCGCCGTATCCAATTCCCCCATGTTGTAACTTTTGTGTGCCTCTCTATCCAGTGGCAATCAGTTGATCGAACGACGTTTCATCGACATATCGTTTCATCAAAAGTTTGTTACACCAACAGCTCGGATTAGCTTCCTTTTGTAATAAGTCGCCTGTGTCTGTCGCCGCGAGGCGGTGTGGACGGGTGGTCCGCCTGGATTAAAATGGGTCCCTGTGATGCACGTGCGACGAAGCTAGTTTTTTCACGAAACATGGTGTCGATGAAATGAGTGTCGACGAAACGATACGGACGCCCGTTGATCACCTCCGATGTTCTTTGAAACCAACGCACACTGTTATTCCGTGATCCTGTGTCAGTTCAGTGATTGACAATATTGCAAATTATGGGAGATTTAATAACATGTTAATGTATACAGTTTTGTTGAAGCAATGTCCACTACTTAGATACCGCAATATCGCTGCACCAGCCTCAGGAACTCTTGAATGTTGAGCTCTCCATTGGATAGACGCTGCTCGAGCTTCCTGATGGCTTCGTCCTTCATCTCCCACTTCTTTTGTCGCTTTCGGTCTTGGCCGCCGTTGGATACCTGGAGGAGGGTGACTCTGGTGGCCTCGTCCCGCTTGATGTGCTCCACGAAAGTGTAGACATTGGGGTGCGCTTTCCCGATGGCGTTGTTAATTTTTCTCTAAATAAAAAGCACAAGGATTACAACTTCTGGTAAATAAGCATTCTGATTTTTTTATAGCAAATTTATACCATACTGAAAAATGAACTGACCGGTGCCAGGCCTCCTTTAGGTTGTTTGTCCGGGCTCCGCTGTTTTGGTGGTGGTTCCACTGCTGGGTGTCGTAGTTTCCTAAGAGCCAAGTATCCTCGAAGTACAGGATAAGTTGTGGGACTCCAAGGGCTGGTGGTGCAGTTGCCTTCAAACCCCGCCAAGCAATACGTACGAACGCTGGCGGGACAAAGGCCAAACTGATTGTCTGGCGTACAAACATCGTTACCGAAGAATCTTCCTGGTAAGCCTTGGCAAGTCCGAGTTCTTGAACCTCCCTCCAGATTGCTTGAGCGAAGTGAAAATGGCAACCCTGGTGCCGGATTCCAGGAAAAACGAAAAGAAAAGCCTGGATAAGGGCCAGTTCAAAGTCCGTACGGACAACGCTGAGTGACAGAGGTGCACGAAGAGCGTCCAACGCCGTCTTGAAGTTCGTGAAGGCCGACACATATACTTCTCGAGACTTCCCAGGTAGAAGAAAGTAGGCGATGTTGAAGCTCAAACCCTCTTTGACGGCGCTTATTGTGACCAGTTGATAAAACAGTGACGGGCAGGAGAAAAACGTGCCATCGATGAACACTTCAACCATTTCCGAAAAATGAAAAAGCAGCTCCTTCGTGCAAAAGCAAAGAACACGGCCTGCACTTATGCTGACGTCGAACAGCAGGAAGTCTCGTTTGTCGAGTGTCTCCGTATGTAGTCTTCCAAGGTCAATCTCGGCCATGCCCCTGGTAGGCTCGGTTGCTGCTTTCTCTTCTCCCTGTACATGGTGCTCCTCACGCTCTCAAAAGTCGGCAGCTCAGCCATTACCGTGTCGTCAACCTAGAACAAATTGGTCCCGTCACAAACAAGGTTCAATCGCGGACACCATGAACACGTATACGCGTGTAATAAAACATAGTATGTAAAGACGAGACAATGTTTTTGCTTACTTGACCCACAAGGCTCAAGATCTCTCTGCTGTACACTTGCGGTGCTGGCAAATGCGGCTCCAACCTAACCCTTTGCTTCAATGCATTCTTCAGTCGCGCTTCCCGAAGTAGGCTGCTATCAGGTGGATGGTTGTGCTCTGAAACACATAGACGTGATGATAATGAAACGCCGCAGCAGATTTTAGCCTCATTCATTCAGTGCCCTTCAAGCTGAACAGCAATACGAGAGTTTGCGAAAGTAAAAAAAGAAAGTCATTAGCTCACCTTGTGTTGTCTTAACGACTTTTCCGTGCTTCGTGAGAACTGCTGCTTTGCAGTTATTTGTCCAGTATTTAGCACATCTCCAGGCAGTTTTCTCATCTTGGTTCTTGCGCTGAAAGCAATACTTAAATCCGTCTAGTACTAAGGCTTCCTTCTCTTTTTCCGTTTTTAAAAATTCGACCTCCATCTCCTGCATCTCAACCTCGTCTGGGAAGCATCCAATGTTGAAAGTTCCTTAAATAGAACTCACCTGGTCGCGTTCGAGGTTTCTTTGTTCTTGTTGACCCTCGGTGTGCACTTTTTCTTTCGTCCCGTAACGAGAATCGGGGGCAGAGGACGGGGGGAACTGATAAGGGGATGGGGGCACGGGGTTTTTGGAACCCGGGGGAAATGAGGTCGGGGGAGATAACGCGGGGAATTTGCAGCTGGGATATCGACACGGGGGAGTCGGGATTGGGTTATTTCGTGCACCACCCCACAATAGTTAGGTGTACCCTTATGAATAAGTATAAATGTATAATTTTATTTTGCGCTAATTGATGAATTTCTATTAAATCGATAATGAATTCACTGGTTATTTTATATCCGATCCGCAGGTGTACTTCGAGATTGTCACAGAGTATGTCAAACTACTTTGCGGTGGATCCATAATTAAAAGAGACGTTGTGTTGACTGCTGCGCACTGTCTCCTATATGCGGGGTAAGTCAGGTTGCGCATAATTTTAGTAGTATATTTGATTAACTTGGTTTTTTGTATTTTAGATTTAATGCAAGCAAATCAAACTTTTATGCTGGAAGTTTGGACATAAAAAACGTGGGACTATACTTGCAACGAAGGAAAGTAAGAATAAGCGTTGCTCTACAAAAGCTTAGTGTAATGCTCAGATGATTAAGTTTGTTCTATAGATCACTGCTATTGTCCAGTAACCCTTAATAGAACTATCTTGATTTTAGGACAGAAACATCTCTAAAAGAATATTTTCAAATCGTTTACAAACGAGTCGAAGAATTTGATCTGGCTATATCCAATCTTTGCGTTTCCATACATCACATTTTGCGAAGCAATGAATCATTATTACGATGCTATAACATTACGGAGAAGGTTTGGATAGGCTGCCTAGCTATGAGAATCTTAATTTTATATTTTACGCAAAGGATAAAATTTGCTATCAATTAACACACGTACGCAAAGTAATAACTGCATACATTAGGACAGGAAAAATATACGCACATTTCATTTTTGCATTATCACAAAGTTAGCTTCAAGCGTAGTTTTATAATTCTAGAAATCAAATTATGTTTAAATCTAGCAAAGTGTATATTTTTTTATAAAATATGCATGTTTATTCCCTTAAAATTCCTTGATTTTTTTTTTCATTCAGAGAAGACACAACCATATTATTGCCATTTCGTGAGTCATTTTATTTACCGTGTTCTTGAAAGAACACGGATTGTTTATTTAATATTCCAGTTATCTCCGAGGATGGCGAAAACATTTCTCATACCGGCACAGTTCTGGCAAAATCGAAATTGAATCGCTGAAAAAATTAATTTCTCCGTACCAATTCATGTACAAAATCTTGTAAGCGCTATTATTCCGGTTACAGGTGAAGTGTTTCACAAAGTTCTGTGCTAACGATCCAAAGACTAAGAAGAGAAGCCGGTATATTTTATTTGACTAAAATATACAAGGTTCTAAACATGCGACTTTTAATTGTCCCGAACTGAAGACGACCTTCTGATTCAGTGGACACGTTTGGGCGTCTGGCAACTTACTTTTGTGTTCACTGCAGTGTTTTTAATATCACATAAAGCGTGTAGTGAAAACACTAAGTAAAGATGTCTGAACGGCACCACCTCGCCTAGCAGCAAGTGCGTCGAAGATTCCCTTTTATTTCTGACACACGCCGTGAGATGGCGCAGCATGCTACTAGCTCGAAGCAGAGAGGGACGCACATTGCCGTTAAATGAATATACACGATTTAAGTCGTTTTAAATGAACTTGTAGCAAAAAACAACAACAAAAACATGCAACTAGGGAGACTCGAATTTCTTAAAGTGTGACTTTCTTGATAATACCACACTCCCTCAGCACACGAACGCAAGAAAATCGAAAAATAGCTTGAGTCACCTTAGCACGCATGCAAGCTTAGGGTTCGAGGTGATACTCTTTGAGTGGTTTCAAATAGTAACCGCGAAGAAACAAGTGCGTACATATTAAATTACTCTATGTTGAACACGGATTAATGTGTAACCCTTCATGATTACGTAACAGAGTCCTCTCCACTACAGATCAAACGATTTATCACACACGAGGACTATTGGGGACACGTCACGAATGAGCACAGCAATGACATCGCGCTCGTGAAGTTGACACGACCTTTCGATTTTGCTGCCAGCAGAGGGCGCATTGGGACCGTGTGTCTTGCCATGAAGCTCCCCCTGCCCGGAAAATTCGTTGCAGTAGCAGGATGGGGACGCACCTCTCCGAGTAAGTGTAAAGTTTACGTATTGCGTATAACACCAAACGCAAGTGCTGTGAGTTAGCGTTAGCGTTGCGTGCTCCGCACTCCGGATGGCGACGACGCTATTTCTTTGGCCACACAAAAGCCTTTTGCGTACGCTATTCTAAAACTCACTAATGGCCGCAGAATGTCTGGTTTTGAGAGCCTTAAATAATTTGCTTTTAAATTGACCAATATTTCCAGATGCTCTTCTCCAAGTTTCCCTCTTCGAACGGTCACACCGAGAGCAATCCCACTAGGGATGCTTCTGATTGACTTTCACCACCAGTGTATTAATTACGAATGCCAGTCATGATACCGCTAAAACATCGAGTGCAAATCAGCACCGTACTTAATAATCCATGTCTGATTGACAGAATTTTATATTCTTCTAGTCGCGTGCGGATTCAGAAGCCATTCTGTGTCATAAAGAATTGAGCATTTTATATACATTGCGACTATTATTAATTGATACGAACTCTTTTTTTCACAATGTGGAATAATGTTACGTGGACACGGTCTTCGATGTAAGCTTATCCAGTACGGGAAACAAAAATGTTTGATAATTTTCACAATTGCCCGGTTAAGTAACTAAATGCATGTAATGGCATCATGTCTTATGTGCATGATAACTGCAGTTTTCACGGCAGCCCGCATAGAATGCTAATCTAATTGGCACCTCTTGCGAAGCGATAGCAGGCTTTGAAACTATTGATTCGTTAGTTTTGCGCACTTTTTGTCAACCTATTCTAAAACTGGGCACAGATGGGTGAAACAAACCCGAAGCAGGGACAAGGCTATTCTTAGTTGGTCTTTACAGAAAACGTAATATGACAATTAACAGATACGAAACAAAGGGCTGCGCGTTAATCTGCGCAGTTTGTTCTTGCATATCACAGTCGCAAATAGCTGCAGAAAAAGTGCCCCCCTTTCAATACCAAGGCTGCTGTTTTTAACAACTAGTTCAATCAGTGCAGTGAGGGCGTCGTTTTCTCTCTGGAATACTACGAAACAGATGACTTGTCTTTTAAAGGTAACATCGGTATTGTGAATCTCGTAGGCCAGACGGATTTTTATTTTTTTTTTTGCTGCTAGGACGTATATAGTATCAATGCACGCCCCAAGTCCCTCCGACATTTTACCTTCCCCATGCAACCTGAGGGATCTTGGTCATACAATATTGGTGTTATGGCCACAGTATATTTCCCGTTTCATAACCTAAATGTTCCATATTAAATTGTGCATTTTAATTACGCGTACTAAGCGTACCTTGGTAGTAAATATTGGGCTCCAGATGTTGTTAGAATCCTGAAAAAAAAAAGCTAAACAACATTCTTTGTGAACTGCTGGCAAACCTGTGAGTGCATTGCTTTACGCGTAGTCTAATCAGCAAAATAATTGTTTGTATAGCTTTACTGTTAATCGCGATCTACTTTTCTGCAGGAATAGGCTGTGTTTTACTGATTTTAATGCTATGCATACTTACTTGCATGCAGATGGAAACACCAGCAACCATTTGTTGGCTGTCACCGTTCCTGTGATAACAGACAAAATCTGCAGGGATAGCCACAAACATTTTTATCTGTCCAAGATAATGTTCTGCGCCGGAGAGAACGGCAAGCAATCTGGATTGGTATGTAACGAAAAAATATCATGGCGCGCGGGCAGAACAAAAACTGCCCCCCCCCCCAAAAAAAAAAAAACACACACAAAAAAAAAACACAACAACATACCTTCAGAGACGAAGAAGAAAAATTGAAGCTAGTGTTTCGACATTCTGTTGTTGTCACTCACATCATAAAGGGGCGGCGCAATGATGTTCAGTTGGAATGTTTTTCACTTTAGACGAGCTTACTGGCACACGTGGGACCCATGTATTCGCGACTCCAGCGACCTATAGGGGGCGCCACCACCGAACAAACATGGCGGCTGAGTCCAGGTCGCGTCGGCTCGGCCGGGCCGCCTGAGTAGGCGGCGCGTTCAATTTAACAGATTTTCTTTTGTTTAATGCCCAATTTTATAGGTATTCTAACTGAGACGGTTAAGTGTAGCCGATGCACATAAACTTGCAGAGCATAGTTTTGTATTCCAAGTGTGTTTTTTGTTCTTTTCATGTCAAACTTTTGTTTCGGAGACTTCGTTCGAAACCAAAACTATGGGCTCTGGAGAGACGGTAATATACTAATCAGTTTTGACCATGTAAGGAAAGCGGCAATGACTGCAGAATTCTCCCACCAACAGTAATTTTCAGCCAACTCGCACGCCTCGACCATGCGACTTATCTGTCCGCGAACTCGAGCTTTTGTGCTTATCCGCGTTTAAGAAACAGCTTCAGTCGTCTGCTCGGTCAACAACACAGGCTGTAGGAAAATTACGAAAATTAAGCAAGCGCTTCTTGAGCCAAGGACCATGTTAACCCGGTGGCGCCCCACTAAACAGCTGATAGTTGTATTTCAATTCAGGTTTTAGTAGCAATCAAGAAGTCATTTTGACGAGTGGGTTACGTATTATATTACGTACTATGTCCCACTAAAGCGATATTAGTATATTCTTCGGTTTGAAATATGAGCTTAGTTGACTAGCTATTAGGTGAACTGATGAATAAAAGTATATTTGACAGACAGAGAGATACTAAGTTAAACTTAGCCAAATGGTTCTAGCCGGTAGCACGGAGACGAATGCGGACAAACTGAAGAGAGTCTTCATCGGAGATTCACGCAGAACCTCTCTGCATTAAACTTGACTTTGAATCCTGAACGGAAAAAATGAGTATTTTTGTGGCCGGTCAACCTGAGCCATGTAAACGTATACAGCTGCTGGCTTAATTCGACGGGGGTATAATATAAATATTGGAGGCGCGATAGATCATAATGCCGTGACAGCTTCTAACGTTGCGAGACGCGCCTCCACCTTTGGAAAACAGATAATTTCCCTCATTCATCATTTGCAGCGAGCAGGTTTTCCTGAATCAAGTACTTGCGAAATCAGCACAACTCCTTTAGAGTGGTCCAGATGCTTTTTCGGCGAAAAGCAGCCAATATGAATAGCCAACGCACCGACCGGCGTGGGTGGCTCAAACTTGAAGCTAATCGAACACAATCAAGCTCAAGAAAAGCAGCTATCGAACCTTCCCATTCACTTGATTGCAGCATTGGTGTTCCCTCCAGTGAAATGCCTCGTCTGTCGTCCTCCCACTGTTCTACATCCTCATAAAGAAACCCCTTATCAGTTACCAAGTAGTCGTCATTTTGAATGTGATTCGAGACAGACAAGAAATCAAAACGTTTTTCCGCGATTCCTCCCCATCCAAGAAATTGAAAACACGTGATGGAAGGAAACAATCTACTGAGGCTTCGCCACACTAATGAACACTCAGGCAAACTTAAGAAATTCCCGGACCTTCGTTAAATGACATTGTTCACCATCGCGCCGACAACACGTGTCCGCGAAAGCCACCAGAGACGCGGAGGGGCGCGGAGCGACCTGGACCGGCCGGTTCCCGGTTTTCCCGCTTGGTGGCGTCCGTTTTGCTCAAGTCGCGAATACTCGCACGTAACGCCAATGACCAAGAAACGTTCCTGTAGTGGTTGTCATTTCAAGAACAAAAGCGAGCGTTTCTTTCAATCTCTCTTTTGCAAAACTTGCTGACGTAGCTTGGAGGTCGCAGCTTTGGCATAGTACTCCAGTGAGAATATTTGAATGCGGCTCGTATATTGGACCCGAGCATTGCGTGAGCACTTGATGTGGGCTCGCGATGATCCATAACATGACAAGCATTTGGATAGGGGCTCGTGGTCAATCGCTTCAATGACGGGTAAAGCCGAAACTTTTAGCGATGCCAACCCCAGCGCGTGGCTGTGATAAATATTGGCGGCATATATTCGGCTCCATATATTACGTGGCAGCTCTTTTTGGCTGCAACTTGACGAAATAAACGCCGCTCTCTTATTTTTAAGGAAAGATGTTTTATAAGTTAGGTTTTCAGGTGAAGTGAAGCTTTAAAAATAGCTGCCGAAAACACCATTGTTAGTTGTCAATGAAATAAAATAGCATTCATCTGGCCACATTTAGCGGGGAAACTAAATTCATGCAAAGGTAGCGACGTCAATATTTCCGCCAAATTTAGCGTGAAATTTTGCGGGTTTTTTTTTTCGGCTTTTATTGCGCGGGTGGAGAAACGGAAATCTGCTTCATGGGTTATGAACGTCAGGGAATTGTTCTAAGTGGTAGCTGCGCAAAGTACAGAAATCACTGAACTACCCCTTTAAAGGAGCACTAAAGCGCTTTTTGAGATTCTCATTGCATTGTCATAACTCAACCTGCGAGTTCTAATCACCCAAAAAGAAAACTTAGTGCCTTTCCACTTCGTGAAAAGGGATAGCCCGCGAAGCTGTATTGGGATGACTATATTGACAACTCATGGTACTCGCGGTCCACGCGGGCGCATCGCATACGCTTCGCGTTGGCGTCCCGCTCCTCGTCGATCGTTTTTGATCGACGACGTCGATAACACTCACGCTTCTCCTGCCGCCGACGCTCTAGACGGGCACGCTGTTGTTCTTCGGCGGTCAGAGACCAGGTGCTTCATGGTCCCGACCCGTCGGCCGCTGCGCGTTCGTCGGCACACTCTTAGTAAAAAGGGTATGGATAGTCCTCTCTTAGGGGGAGGAACGATCTTGAAACCTGTTCCTTTAGAAAGGGAGAAACTTTCACCCCTGAAGCAGGGGAGCAAAGTTCCTCCGTCGCTTGCATCTCAATATGGCGGCCCCGAATCGGGCAATTCGAGCCCAATAAGGCTTGACGAGGACGCTACGTCTCTTGTACGGGACGAGAGGAGCAGAAAATAAAAGCGTAACACGAGCTTTCCGCGAACAGCCTGGGCAGCAGCCTATTGTTTGAGGCACGCGCCGGGGCCCTTGGGACACCACCTTACAGACGTCGGTTTGACACCAGTGACCTCAAGCGTGTGCAGTCTGTGCGGGGCCCACGACAAAACTGTGAAACATATTGGGATAGATTGCGTGGGAGTCTTGCCATCCCGATCGCAGGGCAATGACGTATATCCCTAGCTTTTTCGCTTGCTGAATTGCTCGGCTTTTCAACAAATGATGCAGGCAAAGCCAAACAGATTGCGCCATGACGGAGTTGCACGCAACCTCCAGTGGTCTGCACAGATCAGTGGTAAATACAAAATACTTAAAGAAGACTGGAGGATTCGTGGAGGAAGATCCACCTCAGGGGGCATTAAGATTCACACAGACCAAGGCTCGGGCAGGAAACTGGTTCGATCCCGCCCGTCTCGAAGGGAAACAGCGTCATCGTCATCATCATCATCATAATAATCAAATACTGATCGAACGACGGACGGCGCGTGCCAGCCACTGATGCGCGATGGGCTCCGTCGTGGACGAGCAGGACACCGCTCAGCGTCTACGCGGGAAGCCATCGCTCGCGAGTGGCTTACACGCGCAGTCCGTCGTTGGACCATATTCAGCAAGGTTCGGTAGCACCGACTGTCGTGGTGCGCCGACGGTAAGTATCGGGAACTTTAACCACTTCTTTAATAGGCAAAACATCTGAGCATGAATGTAATTTCGTTTCTTTTTTGTTTTTTTTTTTTTGTTTTAGGACTTTTAGCTGGTAGATTTAGTTATGATCATCGAGCGATGATCTCAAAACGCACTAAGTGCTCCTTTAAGAATCGCAGGACGTATACCATTATGTTCGTGCTTCTTGATCCGTGGTACGTTGTTCGGAATTAATATTGGATTCGGATGCCGCGCTTTGCATGGTTGAGGAGAGCGAGAATCTTATGTTCGGATTTCGACACGGACTGCGTTGTTTTTTGTTTTTTGTGTATGGATCGACGGATGCTAATGGGCGGTAGCTTGCGCCACCTAGCCTCGACTGTCACTCGAGCTGCGAATAACTAGTGTTGCCGCTTTTTATATCCCCTCGTCTGCCAGATATTTTTTTCAGTATGAATGTATAGTTTGTCTCTTTATGGTGCGGTGGACAAACTTGTGATCTTTGAGTGGTGTGACTATTTTAACATATACCGGTAGATACTATAGAAAAACCATTATCTGTAGGCATCAACTACACCGATATCGAACGAGCCTCTTATTTGATAAGCACGGCTAACATGGAAAATGCTCGACATATTTTTCACTGAATTCGCAGTCACAGTATTAATACACCCATAAAGAAGACCTTCTATATACATGCTCATAGATTAGTATTAATGTTTCGAACATGCCTCATACGTGTCCGCATATAATCAGCGGATAATGGCTGCAGATAATAGGATGCATAAGTGGCGCCACTGTGGTTCTGGGTTCTATAGACCAACACGCGGGGCTGACCTCACGCCGCTGCGGTGGCGCTGTCAACGCCACTGCGCACGCGCAGACGCTTCGCTTCGCACGAATTCGGTTTCTGCGCATGCGCAGTGCCCACACCAGGTGTGGGCAAACACGGGCTTGTTTGTAAACAGCGTGTCGGTCTATAGCGTTTGTCCACCTACGAAAATTACGATGTTCGTAGCTGACAGATAATTCGAAGATGATCCGCGGA